GACTGGGAACATTAAAAGTAAATTCTACTTAGCTAGAAGATGTGAAATGATATAAACGTGAGTGTTGAAATTAGTCTAAATAACTGATTGTTTTGTCACACGTAAGCTGTATACTAGCGCAAGTGTACTTGAGGTCTCTAACCAATGAGGTGAGGAGACATCCTTGCTTGTTTTCCTCCCTTTCAGCATACCCGTAAGGAGACAACGTTCTGGACACGAGGATGAAGTGTGAGGATCACAAATACTCAATCAACCGTACGCAGTGTTGGAAGCCAATCCCATCCGCCGACAACACAACGAACTGGACGCTCGATGGGCAAGAGCCATATTCGTCCTGTGCAACTGAACTGAACTGACCTTGAAACGATAATTAAACGTGTGCGGTGCCTCTTCCAACATGCTTGGCCCAGGGGATGTTAGTTTTTACAAGGATGATACTGTCTATTTCTTGAATCACGAAAATAAATGTGCCTTCCTTGGAACCGTCACCAGATCAGACAAGTTGGTACCCGATACAGAACCAGATACGACTGGTGATGTCCCGGATTCTGAGAAGCAATTAATTGATGTGGATCATGACTTAGAGTTTGCCGCAAGTGTGAATTTGGATAATCAGGAAAATACCAGTAAAGAAAAGCCAAAAGTGAGTCTCGTTGTGGACAGTTTTTAGAGCATTCTGGAATAGCGGTATGGATTTTGCTGCTGAGCAAATCAAGCACGTATTAAAATTTCTCTTGTCATACGAAAGAAAGAACAATTGGTTTGCTTATTTTTAAAAGCTATTTCGATAGTGACCTGAAAAGGTGTGTTGGCGATAACAGGTTGACAGAGTGTATTCTGAAGAACGTGCGAGCTAACTTCAATTAGTTAATACTCGGCGAGAACCTTGCCCGGGAGTTTTAGGAATACACCATAGGTTATGTTAGAATTTCAAAATATCTTGCCGTTGTGTTTGATGTTGATCTGATCTGTAGAGTAGGTCGGCTGTTAGCAAGGGCGATAAGCTGTGATAACTTAGCCGAAGTTTAATGTACCTAGCATACCGATAGTCTCTTCTCATTATATTGGTTTCCGTTCTAAACTTGATTCGACGGTTCCTTGCCCTTCTTTTCCTTTTTCACCCCTCTCGGTCTCAGGCATTCAATCAGAATTGTCGGGTCTTTCAGATGTCTAACTTAGGTTTTGTAGTCTTCTTTTTTCTAGGACTAGGAATACCCTTCTTAATTTCGTATTTTCAACGAAGTCGACTGGGATGATGAATGGAGCGCTTCCAACGAAAGTTGGCCATCAACGCCGCTACGTCCCTCTCCTGGCGTATACAGGTCTGCAGAAATCTCCCCACCTGTTCCCCGAGAGCTTCTACTGCTGAAACGCCAGCAATTACCCGGCCCAGATGAGCTTTCACCGGCTTTTCAGAAACAATGTTACACTTCGTTCGAAAACTGGCCTGCTTATTCCAGCCCATCTGGAATACCAAATCCGCTATATCCAACTGGAGTATGACAGATGTCTTACTTGTTTTCGAAAGGGGCTGTTCCGTGATTGCTCATTTACTTCGCATCACATCGTTGAACTTTCTCGGGTGATTAAAAGTCGTTTCCACGAAGAGCAGGCCCATGTAACGGAGCTAATTATATAATTGGTGAGAACTTGTAGTGTAGCAGATCACACATTTAGTCGGCAGACAAGCCAGAAGACAACGCCTTAATGATAAGCTTTAATCGACCAGAAACGAGGCACGAGAGCTAAAACAAGACAAGCGAGATGTTAGAGTATGCGCTCCGAAAAACAGCAATCTATGTAACAGAAAGGACAATAATAAATCTGCAGCGTTCACCGTCACTCAGAAAACGAAGATTAGTATGAAGTTTGTGTCGGATATGCAGAGGACTGAAAATGGGACGTGTACACAGTAATTGGTAGAGATTGCTTTACTGAACCTCACGGTTTCGAGGACAANTCAGTATAAGGGATTGAGGGGTCAAAGAACTGGTAGAGAGGGGTAAGTGAAGCTACTAGTTTGTCGAGAGAAGTCATTTTGGAACATAGGCACTCCAGGTCACTTTCAATCTTTCTGCACTTCTCACTTGTTTCCACGAATATGTCAGACATGGATACTGAGCAAGGAGCAGCAAGAGATGGTCTAGATTTTGGCAGCCGGGTACGGCGAGTTTTAGATGGCAAACTAATTGTTGCTGGCATCTTACTATGTCCTATATTCAAAAATAAGCTATTTGTCCTTATTTAGATAAAAATAGCTGATTCGCGATAACAAGCAATAACTCACGTTGGCTTAGCGCACTTTTTCCAGATTTAAGTCTGCAACGTTTACCGTCACTCAGAAAACGAAGGTTAGTATGAAGTTTGTGTCGGATATGCAGAGGACTGAAAATGGGACGTGTACACAGTAATTGGTAGAGATTGCTTTACTGAACCTCACGGTTTCGAGGACAATAAGGTCTTATCCTTTATTGTTTAGACAGAAGGTCTTCAACGCTTGTTTCTGGTTCACTAAGAAATTCCACTAGGTCGGACAGAACTGCGAATCTCAGATGCATAGCATGTCATTAGGTGAGGGGATTCCGTGCAAGGCTCTGAAAAAGACATGGGTGGCAATGAAGTTGGTCGTTCTGCGGGAGCAAGATGATAAAGAGATACTGTTTCTTCTCGTCCATTAGGTAGACGTATGTGAGCGTATTCGGGGTTGCTATCCAATAGTACAACTTCCTGTATTATGGGGTCATTTTTGGAAGGGCGGATGTTTCTTAGATATAGCGCGGGGCCAGGTGTTAATAATCACCGAGGCAGACTTGTGCCAACCGCAGATTTTCGATTGTGGGGAACACACGTTCGTGAGGTGTCGAGTTGATAGTAGTACAGAGTAATGATCTGATAGCATGGCGGGCATCAGGTAGCACCAACTCCCATTTATCAGTCGCTAGATCCTTAGAACGGAAGCACTGGGATACGATTTTGCATGTGGTTTCATTCATCCTCTCAACCTGACCATTACCTTGAGGGTTGTAGCTCTTCGTCCTGCGAGTAGCTATTCCTCGGTCTTGAAGGAACGTCTTCAATTCTTGAGACATGAAAGAGGCTCCTCGATCGGAGTTTAGAGAGTGCGGCATGCTAACTACGGAAAATAACTCAGTTAAACGATAAACTATAGTGCAAACAGTCATGTTTGCACAGAGAGAAGCAAACGGAAAACGGGAATACTCATCAATAATTGTCAAAATGTAGATATCGAGTGGAAGAGGGGATCGATCCTTTGAAATCAATGCTGAGGTGTCCAAAAGGTTGTGTAACCTCAACAAGGGAACTATTGCATGGTCTATGAAACTTGGGTTTAAGGTGTGCACAAACAGAACATTGTTGAGTTATCACCTTGACATTGTCGAGAGAAAGGGGTAAGATTTTATGCGGAAAAATGTCCCCACTAACAACAAACCCTTATATGATCAGTACAGGCACGATTATGAATCATTCGAAAACAATTGTTCGCCTTCGGACTTGTGTTCTGATGAAAAAATTCCTGTCAGAGGCATCGGTTTCGACCACTAGTGTTGTCTTTATCGACTGCAACCAGTGATGCTTGAATTAGCTCGGATTCTAATGAATCATAAGAGGAGAGTACTTCATTGGGAAGACGGAAGATTTTGTTAGTAATTGTTATGTACTGAATACGAGAAGACAACAGTCGGTAGTTGCTCGGGAGAGAGAGAAGATTGAGAGCCCAGAGATATAAGGCTTTATTCG